GTGTGTGTGTGTGTGTGTGTCTGTATCTGCACACTGCTGCGTGAATATGTTTTCTGAACATTGCTTTCTGATTCCTGCTCCTAGGGAGTTTGTCTGCTCTGGTTTATCAACATTCGATAACTCCACTAGCCCTGCCATGCAAACTTGTAATCCCGAGCCAAGGTGAGTAGAAATGAAAAATTAACGGAGTCAGTGTAGAGAGAGCTTTACTCTGTATCTAACCCTGTGCTGTCCCTGTCCTGGGAGTGTGTGATCGGGGACAGTGTAGAGAGAGCTTTAATCCGTGTCTAACCCTGTGCTGTCCCTGTCCTGGGAGTCATAGAGTTATACAACACAGAAACAGACCCTTCAGCCCAACTCATCAATGCTGAATAGTTTTCTTAAACTGAACTAGTCCCATTTTCCTGTGTTTGGCCCATTTCTCTCTGAACCTTTCCTATCCATAAACCTTTTAAATGTTGTAATTGTACCAGCCACACCCCCCCCACTTCGTCTGGCAGCTCATTCCATACACGCACCACCCTCTGCATGTAAAAGTTGCCTCTTAGATCCCTTTTAAATCTTTCCATCTCACTTTAAGCCTGTGCGCTCTAGTTTTGTATTACCCTACCCTGGAGAAAAGACATTGGCCATTCAGTCTATCCATGCTCTTCGTGGTTTATTAGGTCACCCCTCAAATCTCTGATGCTCCAGAGGAAAAAGAATTGAATGCAGTATTCCAACAGTGGCCTCACCAATGTCTTGTACAGCTGCAACATGATCTCCCAACTCCTATACTCAGTGCTCTGACTAATGAAGGCAAATGTGCCAAATGCCTTCTTCACCATCCTGTCTACCTGTGACTCCACTGTCAAGGAACTATGTACCTGAACTCCGAGGTCTGTCTGTTTGACAACACCCCCCCAGGGCCCTACCGCTAAGTCCTACCCTGGTTTGATGTAACAAAATGCAATGCCTCGCATTTAACGGAATTAAACTCTATTGACTATTCCTTGGCATTGGCCTGATTGATCAAGATTCCGGTGTAATCTTAGATAGCATTCTTCATTGTCCACTACACCACCAATTTGGTGTCATCCACAAACTACACCTCCTATGTTACATCTAAATCGTTTGTATAAATGACAAACAATAGTGGACCCAGCACCGATCCCTGCAGCAGACTGCTGGTCACAATCCTACAGTCTGAACTACAATTCTCTACCACCACCCTCTGTTTCGTACTGTCAAGCTAATTCTGTATCCAGTTGGCAAGACCCCCCTGTAGCCCGTGTAATCTAACCCTACTAACCAGTCTACCAAGTGGGACTTAGTCAAAGGCCTTGCTAAACTCCACATAGACAATCTCTTCTGAATTTCTGAAGAAGGGTCCAGACCCGAAACGTCAGCTTTCCTGCTCCTCTGATGCTGCTTGGCCTGCTGTGTTCATCCAGCTCTACACCTTGTTACCATAGACAATTTCTACCATTCTGCCCCCATCTGCCTTCTTGGTCACCTCTTTAAAACAAAAATCAGGTTAGTGAGACACGGTTTCTCATGCACAAAGCCATGCTGACTATCTCTAATCAGTCCTTGCCTTTCTGATTGTAAATCCTGTCTCTCAGAATTCCCTCCAATAACTTAACCACCAGTAAAGTCAGACTCACCGGTCTGTAGTTCCCAGGCTTTTCCTTGCAGCCTTTCTTAAACAAAGGCACAACATGAGCCACCCTCCAGTCCTCTGGCACCTTACCTGTGGCTGTCGATGATACAATTATCCCTGCTAGGAGCCCCACAATTTCTTCCCCAACTTCCTACAATGTCCTGGGATTCACTTGATCAGATCCCAGAGATTTCTCTACCTTTACGCATTTTAAGAGACTTCCAGCATCTCCTCTTGTGTGAAGTGGACCCTTTTCAATGCATCAATATTTATTTCCCCAAGTTCCCTAGCATCCATATTGTTCTCCATAGTAAATATTGACACAAATGTTAATTTAGGATCTCATCCATCTCCTGTAGTTCCTCAAATAGATGACCTTGTTGATCTTTAAGGATCCCCATTCTCTCCTTAGTTACTCTTTTGCCCTTCATAAAATTATAGATCCCCTACAGGGTGGAAACAGGCCCTTCGGCCCAACCAGTCCACACCGAACCTCAAAGCATCCCACCCAGCTATAAACCACCTAATCTACGCATCCCTGGACACTACGGGCAATTTACCACGGTCAATCCACCTAACCTGCACATCTTTGGACTGTGGGAGGAAACCGGAGCACCCAGAGGAAACCCACGCAGACACGGGGAGAATGTGCAAACTCTGCACAGACAGTCGCCCGAGGGTGGAATTGAGCCCAGGTCCCTGGAGCTGGGAGGCAGCAGTGCTAACCACTGAGCCACCGTGCCACCCCTACTTGTAGAATCTCTTTGGATTTTCCTTTACCTCATCAGCCAAAGCTATCTCATGTCCCCTTTTTGCTGTCCTGATTTCCCTCTTACATGTACTCCTGCAATCCTCTACTCCTCAGGGGATTCGCTTGATCCCAGCTGTCTATACCTGACATATGCTTCTTTCCTTTTCTTGACCACAGCCTCAAAATCTCCAGTCATCCAGTGTTCCCTACTCCTGCCAGCCTTGCCCTTCAACAGGAACACGCTGTCCCCAAACTCTCGTTATCTCACTTTTGAAAACCTCCCACTTACCAAATGTCCTTTTAACTGTGAACAGCCTCCCCCCATGCAACTTTTGAAAGATACTGTCTAAGGCCATCAAAATTGGCCTTGATCCAATTTAGAACTTTACCCTTTAGACCAGGCCTGTCCTTTCCATAACTATGTTAAAACTAATGGAATTATGGTCCCAAAGTGCTCCCCCGCTAACAGTTCCATCACTTGCACGGCCTTATTTCCCAAGGGGAGATCGAGTCTTGCCCCTCCTCTAGTAGGGCCATCTACACATTGATTGAGAATGTTTTCCTGAACACTTTTAACAAATTCCTCTCCATCTAAGCCCTTAACACAATGGCAGTCCCAGTCTATGTTAGGAAAGTTAAAATCCCCTACTATTACAACCCTATTACTCTTACAGCTATCTGCAATCTCCCAACATATTTGCTTCTTATTTTCTCGCTGACTATTAGGGGCTCTACAGACCAATCCCATCAAAGTGATCAGCCTCTTCTTATTTCTCAGCTCCACCCATGTAGCTACATGATCCTGAGGATCATGCCTCAGGATTGTCCTCTCTAAGTATTGCTGTGATGGTTTCCCTCATCAAAAATGCCAGGACCCCTCTTGCCTCCCTCTCTGTCTTCCTGTAGCATCTGTACCCTGGAACCCATTGAGCTGCCACTCCTATCCTTCCATTAACCACATCTCTGTAATAGTTATGATATGCCAGAGCCATATTCTCATCCACGCCCTGAGTTCTTCTGTCTTATCTGTTAGGCCTCTTGCATTAAAATAAATGCAGTTCAATTCTTTGGTCTTCCCTCATCTTCTGTTGTGCTCATGCCTGCCCTGTTTATTTAATTTGCTTTCTTTATCTTCTTTACTGTCCTCAACCTTCTCTCCCCAATATTTAGGGACCCACCACCCCTACCAGTCCAGTTTAAACCCTCCAGGGTAGCTCTAGTAAATCTTCCCAACAGGATACTGGTCCCCATCCAGTTCAGATGCAACCCATCCCTCTTGTACAGGGCACCTCTGCCATCGTGTTTGATTTGGTTCAGTGTTTGATGGGGGACAGTGTAGAGGAGGCTTTACTCTGTATCTAACCCCCTGCTGTCCCTGTCCTGGGAGTGTTTGATGGGGGACAGTGTAGAGGGAGCTTTACTCTGTATCTAACCCTGTGCTGTCCCTGTCCTGGGAGTGTTTGATGGGGACAGTGTAGAGAGAGCTTTACTCTGTATCTAACCCCATGCTGTCCCTGTCCTGGGAGTGTTTGATGGGGACAGTGTAGAGAGCGCTTTACTCTGTATCTAAGCCCATGCTGTCCCTGTCCTGGGAGTGTTTGATGGGGACAGCGTAGAGGCAGCTTTACTCTGTATCTAACCCCGTGCTGTCCCTGTCCTGGGAGTGTTTGATGGGGACAGTGTAGAGGGAGCTTTACTCTGTATCTAACCCCGTGCTGTCCCTGTCCTGGGAGTGTTTGATGGGGGACAGTGTAGAGGTAGCTTTACTCTGTATCTAACCCCGTGCTGTCCCTGTCCTGGGAGTGTTTGATGTTGTGGAATGTTCCATTTTTAACTTTGAGTTTCCACTCCTGAAGAAGCAGAAAATTTGAGTCACAGTGAAGTGATTTTTTTAGAGTTGAAAAGCTCCCTTGCTGCTTGCGTTTGGCACAGACTGATATCCCACTATTGTTCTCTGTTTGGGTGGGTACAAGTAGAGTTATAAACACCACATACTGCGGAAACATCTGCTTATGCTGTCATTCTCTCTAGTCCAGGCTCTCAACTGGTAAGCAGCACTTAGAATTCATCTTTGAGCCTTTTTCCAATTTCTCTTCTGCAGACACAACAGCGGGCCAGAGATTAGGAATCCTGCAACCAGTAACTTACCCACCTCAAACCCTAACTACCATCTACAATCTGCTCCTCCTGTCTGGGGCCATGCGCTGGGAGTTGAGCCCCTCTGTTCCCTGGGCCTTCGTAGAATTAAATGATTTCCCATTGTCCCTGTCTTTCAGACCCAGATTCACAGAAGCACAGTTACTTAACAAGAATCCCTATTTATTACAAGGAATCCGATTCTAGCTCCAAAAGGGTCTAGGCCCGAAACGTCAGCCTCTCTGCTCCTATGATGCTGCTTGGCCTGCTGTGTTCATCCAGCCCTGCACCTTGTTGTATCTAAGTATAGCTGTTTTGTGAGCAGTACAGGCAGTTCATAGCAAAAAAGGACATACAGACCACAGGGTGCTCAGACAGAACGAGGCATACAGGTTACAGCTGCACAGGAGGTGCGCAGACCCAGATCAACACTAGATTTGAAATTACAGAGGTTCAATCAGCAAACTGATAACAACAGGGAAGAAGATGAGACAACAAGGTATGGAGCTGGAGGAACACAGCAGGCCAGGCAGCATCAGAAGAGCAGGAAAGTCAGCTTTCCTGCTGTTCCGATGCTGCCTGGCCTCCTGTGTTCCTCCAGCTCCACACCTTGTTATCTCAGACACCAGCATCTGAAGTTCCTACTATCTCTGACTGAATTACAAAAGCAAAGAAGCTGTTCTTGAAACTGTTGGAGCGTGTGTTCAAGCTTCTGTATCTTCTGCCTAACAGAAGATTGGAACAGAGCATTACCGGGGAGGGAAGGGACTTTGATGATGTTAGAATCGCCTTTATTGTCATGTGAATGAGTGCAGTGAAAGTTTCTAATGTTGCCTTTCGGCACCATCTTAGGGACAAAGGACCTCGGCACAAATACTTGTACATGTAGTTACAGAGTTAAAAGAAATATATAGATTAGCATGGAAACAGTTGAAAAAGTCCAGAATGATAATAAGTGACAATAAGTCCTTCAGTTCCAGTCTGTGCCTGTCAATCCCAGAGCATGAGGCCATGCTATGTCCATGTGCCGGCTTCCATCCAGGACTCGCTCGGCCACCACTGTGGGATTAGGCCCATTCACTGTGCCCCGGGACTAGGCCGATTCACTGTGCCCC